AGCAACTCTGTACCCTGATTCATCAGTGGCTGATTGTGGGCGAACATCAACGACAACGTCAAGCCAAGAAAGCCATGAAATCTCGTCTACGGGAAAAATTGGCCAATGACGTTCATGTCCTCAAAACCATTATTCCCAACATTGAACTCATTGTCAATAGCATCGGTGATGACGATGACGACGACATTAGTAGTAGTGATCGGGATCTTGGATCGCACTACAGCAGCAGCAGGTCTCTGGGGAAAGACTTCGATTGGGAGACACTTGGCAAAGAACCATTGGAAGATACCACAGACACGGCCACCATGGATGAATCAGAACACGAACCCATACAAGATGGGAAAATGGCAGATCAGCTCAAACGGTTACAGTTTGCCTTTGGCTCATTCATCAGTGTAGTGGCCGAAAGGGGTCCTATCGTCATGGTAATTGATGACATGCAATGGGCAGATCAAGCAAGCATCAGCTTACTCCAGGCATTTCTGACTCAATCTGCCATTGGCAAAGAGAACATTCCACTGTTGGTTGTGGGTGTCTATCGCAGCAATGAAGTGAGCTCCAACCCACAACATCCTCTATCCAAACTATTGGGTGCATTGGGAAACAAAGCTGACAATGAAAGCCCAAAAGAGCTTCCCAAAACCGCTGTGGCGGACCAAACCAATCCGCACCAGGGGATCCCAATGACCCGCATTGCTCTCGACAATCTTTCCGTGAAACACGTGAATCAGATGGTTTGTGACTTGTTGTCCCTTGATGAACCACAAACTGTGGCTCCACTGGTAGAAGTGGTGCACCGAAACACACAGGGTAATCCGTTTTGGGTGGTCCAGCTCATGACCGGGCTTCAGTCCCAAGGATTGTTAGACTACAACTTTGGGCTCATGAAATGGATCTGGAACCTCCCGGAAATTGAAGCCAAGATCAAAATCACAGACAACATTGTCGGACTGACCAAGGACAAACTTGAAAGTCTAGAAGATGGCACCTTGCAAATCCTACAGATTGCGGCATGTCTTGGTTCTACGTTTGACGAAAATACACTTCAGATGGTCTTGTCCAAGGTTGACCGGTCAAAGCTCCTTGGCGGAGGAGACGACGAAAGCTGCGAAGGCAATGAATTGGATTGGGGTGAACTAGACACATGCGTCGACGAAGGCTTTCTTGAGGAATTTGGTTCCACATCGTACAGGTGGAAACATGATCAGCTGGAAGCTGCAGCGTTTTCTCTGATTCCTACGGATTCCATATCGGAGGTACTCTTTTCAATTGGCAAGATCGTGGCTACTGACACGGACTCTGCCACTTTGGAGAGTATGCTCTTCATTTGTGTCAACCTTCTCAACGAAGGAGCATCCTCGCTTCCCGAGGGTGACTCATGGAGAATAAAGATATCTGAGCTGAACCGAAGGGCCGGCAAAAAATCCATGGTCTCGTCGGCCTTTGAATCGGCAAACTCCTATTTTCGCACAGCCATCGAGCTTCTGCCCAAAGAGCACTATTGGCGAGACCACTACGAACATTCGCTCGAGCTCTTCTCCTCCGCTGCTCAGTCAGAATTTGTATTGGGAAATACTGAACGGCTTGATCGGTACTGCGAGGAGGTTCTCAGTCAGAAGGATCGACCACTCTTGGACAAACTGAGCACGTACAAGGTCATGCTGGAATCTGTCGCCGCCAGGGCCAACGGCGGAGATGCCATTGAACTGTGCCTGGATGTTTTGCAACAGGACAAGGATTATGTCACAGACGGACTCGCCCTGCTCAACTGACCCCAGTTTTGGTTGTTCGGACGGAAACCTCGTCCTCAGTTTTCGTTTGTGGAACCAAATTACCTACTGGCTAGCTAGCTAGTAGTACCGTACTGGTATAGCAGCTTGAGCTCATCAATCATCAATCCTCTACTAGCTAGCTTATGCATAGTAGCCCTATAGCTATCTCTGCTATTGATCCAGAAGGTGTCTATCTAATGCAATAAGTATGGTATATTTGGTTGGCAATGGGTGTTCTAATCTATCTAATCTGTTAATAGCTATCTACTCGCCGTCGTTTTGCGTGCCGACATAGGAATCACCACCAAAACACTAGGAAATAACAAAGGAGGAAGGAATCCAACGAATTGGAGGATCCACTCTCCTCTGTGCATTGTCGTGTAGCCTCCTCTTGTTACCTTTTCAACTACTCGACTCGACGACAATGCGTTCAGGCTGTTGGTGGGGATTGAGTTAACCTCCTCCGTTCAGGTTGGTAATATGGCTTGAGTTAGTCTCCTCTTAGTAGAGGTGCGATCGATCGTAATTGAATAATTTTTAAAAGAACAATTGACGGCCGAGCTCGGATTTCCCTCCTGAATACCATAGAAATCCAATGAGGGAGAGAAGTCAGCGCTGTACCTTCAATTAACACTCTTGATAATAGGCTTACCTCATTGCGATCGATCGATCGATCGGCCGATTGGATAAAGAACTCCTCCTACCGGTATACGTATACCACTCTTGTCGGCCAAGCTTGGATTTCTCTCCTGTTTGCCATAGAAATTCAATGAGGGAGAGAAGTCAGTGCTACGCCTTCAATCATAACACACTTGATAATAGACTTACCCGTAAAAGCTAGTAGCAGGAGGAGCGAGATCCCTCTCAACTGAGGCTGTCCATGGACGCCATTGTGCGGTTTTTGTGGATGGAGGAGGAATGAGA